CAACAACAGCGTTATTTTTATTTCCCTTCAGAATCCCCTATAGCTAACATTTTTCTTGACCTCTCTTCCAGTTCAACTAATTTGAGCCAATACAAGAACAAGATACGCTCATATTGTTTTCCCATTCACCACTCATGAACTAGTTGTCCAAGAAAAAAACTGTAATTACAAGCGAGAATAATTGAACACAGAGAAAAATTAGCAAAAATAGAGGATTAATCAAGAAACAATCTTCTGTTAACAAACTACACCTCCAATCAACTCAATGAAAGTATTCCTCATCATATGGTTTTATACCAATTTCCATATGGTATCAGTATAAAATAACGCCTAAAAATCAACGAAAAGAATCAGAGAGAGAAAGGGAGGAGCATAACTAACAAAAACTGCATATTTGCCGTCGCCTGATCAAATTGCATCACAAATAGCAGTTATACACAATTCTCAACAAATAATTGCTAAAAATCCTTAAACAGTTTCAAAAACAAAAAATAACATTCTGTGCACAAGAAAATGTTATTCAGCAATTTATACTTAAAAGAAATATGTGAAAAATTAGAAGCATATGGCACCCCTCATCAAATATTTTTTTACCACTATCACGATCTCGATGCTTATCCGACTGCAGAATAAGAACCAATATGCACGTCAGAAACCACAATTCATATGCAGACCAGACACGTGGACCACTACAAGCAGCATCAAAACCAAACAATTAAAACACTAACCTAACACTGGCACGTTTCCCCCTTAATCATTTTACCCCTCTTTTTCGCTTTTTATCCTTAACTTTTTCGGACAGTTCTTTCACTTAAGCCATGTCACTTAGAAATTCTGCAGCAACAATAACCCAGCCACGACTAACACAACAGCAAAACTTAATTGTACAGTTTCTTTGAAGAATTCCTTTTATTCCATCATCAGTTACCAACACAAACCATGAGAAACTAGCCACCTATAAATCAGACAATTCTACAGCAAAAATAATTTTGCAATTAAATCCAATCAAGTTTGCCACAAAACTGTTCTTAGCCAAAAACAGATCAGGATTAAAAAACTCCAAAAAAAGGAATGAGTAAATACCTACGCTTAAACTTAAATATTATATTACAATGAAAGTGACCTCCAAAAACAAAAACTGCATCATTTCTTCCTGTTCAGCAGGTGATCCTCACCTGACAAAGCTAATACCAAGTGGAATTCACCAAAATTTGTAAACCAGACCCAACCTTCAAATTGATTAGTTGAAATACGTGAAATCCTTCGCATTCATACAGAAAAATATCTGTTACTCTATAAATTTCCAGCAGTAATTATAATTTTGAGCAATAAAATTCATTGTATCACTACTTCACTGATAGTTCGAAAAGCAAGCATTCACTACGTCCAGAAGCGACAGAGGTCTTCAGTGATAGAGCCATTTAACAAAAACAGTCAAATCACTGTATTAAAATGAACATTTGTATATTCCCAAACGTCAATAAAACGACTTCTCTGAATCAACGGCAGTTCTAACAAGATAGTGCTTTACGCGAATGAAATAGTTTATTTGTGCCTTCGGTCTTCTGGCAACATTAACAGTCTTCCTCTCTGACTTGTTTTATTCACTTTGGTCCTTAGAAGCTTCATGCGTATTCTCAGAATTCAATTCTCCACATTCCACTATGGTAACCTATAATAATTCTAAGTCAATATTTTAACACAGTACATTAAAAACTCGGTTAATATTACCTGCATCATTGGTTTACCACTCTTTGTACCCTGCTGCTCTACTTGCCTAACTACATTCATCCCTTCAACGACGCGCCCAAAAACTACATGCTTCCCGTCCAGCCAGTCTGTTTTTTCCGTACAGATGAAAAACTGAGAGCCATTTGTATCCGGACCACAGTTCGCCATAGATACAGTGCCCGGCATTACATGTTTCAACTAAAAAACTGGTACTTTTATTGAGAGCAATAAAAGACAAAATCAATAAGTGCAATTCCACTAAGAAACGTTAAAAATTATTTCTTCTTAATTTCAAAAGCTGACGAAGAAATATCTTGCAAATGGAATTTCCAAACTCAAAATCAAAACTGCAGAGAACGAAAACAAAAATCACTGCTTCTTTACAGATTAATTTCACTTTTTCTTCTGAACAATGCGCAAACGACTAAAGTCACAAGCTTTATAAAAGGAAAAACTGTTTCAAGTAAAGATAAACTGCTTACTTTAAAATTCTCATCTGGAAATTTTGGCCCGTATATAGACTTCCCGCCAGTACCATCACCTTTTGTGAAATCACCACCTTGTATCATAAACTGAGGGATAATTCTATGAAAATGAGAACCTAAAAATATGTAAGGTTCCCTCCTGTTCTAGACTTTTCTGCAAATAAAATAAAGGGGTTTAAGAACTGTTATTCCAGGCAAAATTGTAATACCTTCATAACCGAAACCCTTTTCTCCAGTGCATAACTGCCGGAAATTTTCTGCTGTTTTTGGAACAACGTCGGAACGAAGCTCAATTACAATTCTTCCTATATACCTAAAAAGCAGTACTTCATACGGTATAACCTATAATAATTTTTGCTGCTTTAAACAGCGAAAACTGGGAAAACTAATTTTGCTCAAAGAAAAAAGGTGAAGAGAATAGTGTGAATGTTACAGTATTCGCAAAAGCGATGCATTCGCACACAACACTAACAGAAAATAGATGCTTCTAAAAAAGAAATTTTAATTCCCAAGTATTTACCTGATGCCAATACGAATCCCAAGAAAAACCCGAGGCAAAGCAGGTTTCGGAGCGTCTACTGATGTCGCTGCTGAATCAATAACTTCAGGTTCTGCTTCCCCTTCACGATTTACACTTCCACTAACACCATACTGAAATTGAGAATGTAATTTAAAGTCGGAAAAGAGGCAATTAACGCAGAAGTTTTTTATTACACTATATAAATGAATGATCCAGAAAAAATATCTTCATTCAAATCTTAAAAATCAGTGAGAAAGAAAATCACTGATAGCGAAACCCAAAAACACTTTCCACTAATCCAAGCTTTCAGGGAGAAATCTAATTACTGAAAAGTGAGGAGCGTACGGTTCTCAACCACTCGTCATCTGCCCAAACAGGACGTTGACTCCTTTCGTTCGCTTTAGGAGGACGAGCGAAATTGCAGCGGATATTTCGACCAAATAATTCAGAATCGTTCATATTATCAATTGCAGCAGCTGCATCCTCAGGTAACTCAAACTCGACAAAGCTAGAAACAAAGGAGATAACATATTTGGTTGTAAGAGCCAGTAACTTAATGACCATTTTTCGAAAAAAAAGCAGTAAGCTTCAGAGTTGACACAACTAAGTAAATTAACAAAGTCAGTTATTCCAAAATCTTACGCGAAGCCACGATGCTTGCCAGTTTCATAGTCCATAGGTACAGAAATACCAACTATCTCACCAAAGGGCAAAAATGCTGCGTGTAAAAGCTTCTCGTTAACTTCGTCACCAAAACCACCAACATAGAGTGTCCTTTTCTTATTATGCGGAAAATTAGTAGTCCCAGTGATCATACTGATAGACGGACGGAATTATATAGTTAACAATGGCCAACTACAGTGGTAAATTAAGCATGTGTTCCAACTTCGAAGGATGCAACTCAAAAATAATGAATTAAGCAAATACTTAACTGGAAACTTATTGCTTGTATTCCGACGATACGTACACGAGAAATAAACAAAAGCAAACGCATCTGTTACTTCTAACCATAATGTAATATATGAAAGAACAACTAATTATCAGATGCAGTGCCACTACAGAAATAACAATGAAAAAAAAAATAAATCCTATTCAAGAGTATTTAAATGAATAAATAATTGCAAATATACAAAAACAAGCAAAAAAATGACAAGTACAACGTATCCCCGGTTCATTTTGATTTAAACTTTATCCTGCGCTTAAGAAGTCCATCCGATAACCTTGACAAAGGAAAATTGTTTATGTTTTACTCGGGCTGGTATAGTGAGAAATTGAAAGCGGTGAACAAGAAAACAAGCATCCAGAACATCTACGTAAATCCTACAAGATAAAGAAGTAGAATGACCTTAGCCTAGAATCCAGGCTTTTTAGCATCGTTTTTCCTATTTCTTGCTTTATCTTGCCATGTTTCCGAGTTATCTCTTTACCCGTTGGCAGCTTGCCAGCGGCGGGAAATTCTTTATATACATGAGAACCGAAAAGAAAATTAGAAAAATGTAGACTACCCATAGAGTAATCAGTTGTTCAGCAAAACTGTGAAGATAAACTGTATTTTTGTTCCTTATCAGAGTCAACGCTTTTCATTCGCTTGGTTAAGGTGTTCACAGATATCGTTTGAGTGGGTTGTGCTGTTTGACCGTAAGCGAAACTTGACCGTAATCCGGCAAAAAGTGTCTATCTTTAAATGTGCTTTTTTTCAGTTGTCAACGTACCTTGATTTTACCACGTGATTTTCCCAACCCATCCCGGTTCAAACCTCCTACTCACTGTTGAACGGCTTAGTGCTGTAGTTCTATTTTAACTCTCTTGGCCTTTCGTAACAGCAGCATTTCGATGGCTTACAGTTAAATGAACAATAACCGCATCTCTAGTAGTTTGAAAGGCTTGGACTTGCTCCCTGCGCAATTCTCCTGTTCAAAATTATTGCATATCTTGACCAGTTTTTACTACTTGGAGGGGCCTGATGATCTATGACTCATCTGTCTCCTTTCTTCTCCAAAAACTAGCTGTCACTAATGTATGAAGGAAATTTTACCTCTTAAGCAACGGATTTTGAAGGAAGTTTCTTACACTACAAAAAAAAAAATATTTTTCAAGAAGAAGGTAAAGTCTTTTAAGAAGACAATTTTTGCGTATTGCTGTCGTGGAGCAAAACGTCTGCACTCTTTCACTATCACGGAGCTTCTAAATTTACCCGAACTTGTTACCGCTCTGGTACTGAATCATCGACATCATATCTCCACATTTTTTAAAGTGCTATTTATCAGCCAAGAAGGCATGTTTAACTGTGAATTTGAAAGCGCATATACCATCGTAAACTAGGATAAAACGAATTATTCAAATTTGAATTTCCTAGTGTGTTGGTTATAAATGCCCATTGAAGTTCCTTTTTTTAGATACCGGCAAGTGATTTAAATCAAAAATTGTTTTGGCCAAATGCAATCAGCATTTATTGAGACCAACTTTAGATACAAATTTTAAGAACCTTTTAGGTTAAGAGCAGTAAAAGTGTAAATATTGTTACAGTAGCGGAAGAGCTTTCAGAACAACAAGGAGCAGCTTCCAAGGAGAAGAAATTCTGTCGTTAGACTGTTACATAATGTAGACAATTCTTCGAAGCATGAGCCGATAGGAAGGTGTCATTGTAAACACTGGAAAAATCAAAGTGGAACTTAGCGTTGGATCGCCAAGAAGAAGTAGAGAAACAGGATTAAAACGACTACACAAATCAAGAAAAGCCAAGAACTTTAAACAAAAAAGGAAGGTAGGTTCACGGAAAAATGCATGTTGAGAGTAGTTCGTTCTCTGTACAAGTTCGTGATCTTTCTGTAGTATCACATATTCTCTGTGTCATAAGTTCTGATTTCGTACGAAACTAAACTTTGCTCATTATTTCTTAGTCGCGGAGCAAAGCTTGGCTTCTTATGACGAGGGGAAGGAGAGTGAGAGGGATGATGAGGGAGCGGCAATGATAAAGTTTCTCTTTCAAAAAGACGATGGGACAAGAAAAGCACTGTTTGATAAAGTGGTATAGGGCAACGTTCACTTTAGATACTTAGTGTGCTCCTAAGATTGCCAAGGGACAGCCACAATTGCGGAGTTTCAGTTTAATTTGTAAAAGCGATAAGGAAATGTAGGATAAAAACTGGAATACCTGAAGAACGTTTTAAAGGTATTCATACACCAGTTTCTTACTTTTTGTATTCATTTGTTTTTTAAACCAAGATTTTCAATTCAAGTTTTTTTCCACTCTTTTTTTGACAAGATTTTTGTCACCGTCATTTTTCAAAGTTGTTTTAAGATATTTTTTCGTTTTCAGCCTTTTTCGATTTTTGTTTGCTGAAACGTTGGGTTTTGAAGACAATTCTTAGCTTCACCGATCTTAACTTAGGTCACGTTCCGCATGACTCAGTAGTATCAGTGACATTAGAACTTTATTAACACAACAGAAGGAAATATTACAATAGGGACAAGAATAGAGCTAGAGTAGGAACTAGCAACACAAAGCGATTAGAGACCTTTTTCATAGATCAGGTACACCTGCTGAAGGCTAAAAAGTCGCACTTGTGCTACAGGCAAATATAATGATCTTTCAATATAACGTGTGAACCATGGAAGTATTATTACAATACACTATACAATTTTAACGTGTATTTATTGAGCGGGTTTCAGTTTTTGACATAATAACATAAGGAGATTTTATTAGAATTCTTCCGATAGAGCTTAACGACTGTGTAGATGGACATTTTCATTTCGCCGCTGTCATTCTGCCTCAGAAATTTTAAGATTTTCAAACTCCTTAGAAATATATTCTTCGACTTGTTCCACATGCTGCACTTCCATGTCGCCCATATTCTGCAATGCTAACTTAGTATCCAAAGGTTGGAAAGCTAAAGTGGTGGGAGTAAATCAAATATTTATCTGTTTATTAT